CTTCATCAAAAAAAGTATTATATGAAACAATTTCACAAGATTAAACAATTTCATGAAAAAATTTCATAAGATTAAACAATGAAATCGACAGATAAAGGTGGTTTGCACGGTTTACACAAATGAGGGCGATTTTCATATGATCACTCCTCTATATATATATATATATGTGTGTGTGTGTGTGTGTGTGTGTGTGTGTGTGTGCGCGCGCGCACGCAGGATTGTGTGAGAAAGAATTAAGGCTGGAAACGTAAGAAGGGAGTTGGACTATTGATCACTTTTATCTCAAACTCATCCATAAATCGCGCTTGATATGTGGATTGATTTGGTGTATCTCGGTTCAGATCCCTTTTTATGCTTCTCACCTTAACTCTTATTCTCACCGGAACACACACACACACACACACACACACACACACATATATATATATATATAGAGAGAGAGAGAGAGAGAGAGAGAGAGAGAGAGAGAGAAAGGGGCTTGCATTGGTGTTAACTTTCAAACTCATCTGAGTCATTTATTTATTTGATCAACGGTTATGATTAAATGAAAGATTATAAACTGGTTAAAGAGGAAATATATTAAATGGAATTAAGTCAAGGTAATTTTGGAACAAATTATGTTTTATTTCACGAAGATAATTATAACTCCATTTATCTCTAAAATAAGTGAGTTTCATATTTGGAAATTGTTTTGATGCATTTATGGTTTTGATTTAGATTTCATCTATGAACTTTGATTGTTCCATTTTTTTATTCTAAAGTTCATAGATGAAACTAGAAAGTTCATAAATAAAATAATTATTTTTGTTTAAAGTTCATATGTGAAACAATACTTTTGAATTAAAGTTCATAATGTTTTTCGTGTGTGAACTCTGATTGTTCCATTTTTTTTATTAAAGTTCATTAGTGAAACCAGAAAATGAATGAGATAATCAAGAATGTTTAAGAGAGTTTTTTTTTGTAAGGGTGTCCGGGCCAAAGCCCGACTAATCCCCGGCAAATTTGGAGGCTAAACATGGCCCCACTTAAATGTCGCCAACACTCCCCTCCCAGGGCTCGAACTCGGGTTCATGACTATGCCATGCCCAAGTCTTTACCACTATGTTTAAGAGAGTTCGTAGGTGAAACCACAAGGTTCATTAATGAAACAATGATTTTTGTTTAAAGTTCATAGGTAAAAAAAACAATGATTTTCTTCATAGGTGAAACAATGATTTTTGTTTCGTCTGTGAACTTTGGTTATTCCAATTTTTTTATACCAAAGTTCATATGTGAAACAAAAAAATAAGTAAGATAATTAAAAATGTTTAAACAAGTTCATAGGTGAAACCAGAAATTTTACAGGTAAAACAATAAATGAAGGAAATTTAAGTAATTTTCTTTAATATTTAATGAATGTGATGATTATGGAATGCGATAATTAAAGAATGTGATAATTAAGTGAAGAAACCAGATATTTTAGAAGTATGATAATTAATGAATGTAATAATTAAGTGAATGGGATATTTAAGGAATGATAATTAGAAAATAATTGACCTGGTGAATCTCGGTGCACCTTATTAGTGTTGACATTCAATTAGGATTGATACAAATGTGTAGATCTCTTCTTACACTTCTCACAATAACTTCTTTTTTCACCGAAATCCAACCCTGTAATTAAAAATATTTAAAGTTTGGGTTGGGTTTTGGTAAGAAGAGATCTGCATTCTTGAATCAATAATAATTGAATGTCAACACTAATGAAGTGCATCGATATGTAACATATCAATTCCCTTCTAAAGTGCAATTCATGAGTGGACATGCAATTAAAAGTGCTCAAGGGTTCATTCATTCAGATCTTTTTATACACTTCTTACTATAACCTGCCTTCTTACACGATTCTTTGCCTTAAAATTTTAATCATCAATAACATATAATTTCAATGATAAATGTATGAGTACATTCACAGCGACAAGAAATATTAAAAATTCTATCATATTTTAGTATTTTTCAAATTGATATTTTAATTAATAAATTATATTTAGAGTGTTAGGGGTCTCTTTATCAAACATTTATTGAGTCATTTTAACTGGTGAATGAAGAATCTTACCCGATAAAAGGTATGACAAGAATCAAGATTCATACCAAATAAATGAGAACAAAAACTCTTAGGGGGCGTTTGGTTCTCAGATTCTAAAAGTTTCTGATGAAATAGAAATGTTGAATTTCATTGACCAAATTTGATTGTATCGTTTTGTTTATTCTTTTTCATTAAAGAAATCTTCAAAATTCTACAAATTCCACAAATAAAGGAAATTTACATTCCTTATCAACTACATGATATTTTGATTGAATGAAATTCTATATCTTCATAGTACCAAATATGTTCTTAACCCAATATACCATAATCTCATAAAATCCAATAAGACTATCGTTGACTACCTCCGACCACCGTCAATCTGAATTACCGCCGACCACCGCTATCTGAACCACCTTGACTATCGTCATCTGAACCACCACTGATCTGAACCATTGTCGACCACTATCGATTTGAACCACCGCCGATCTGATCCACCGTCGATCTAAACCACCATGGACCACTGCCAATCTGAACCACTATCGACCATCGCCATCTGAACCACCACGGACCACCATTGATCTGAACCACCGCCAACTACTACCAATCTAAATCACCGCCGGCCACTACGGATCTGAACCACCGCCGACCATCACCAATATGATCCATCGCCGATCTGAACCACCCCTGATCTGAACCACATCCGACCAACGCCACCTGGACCACCATATACCACCACCGATCTGAACCACTGCCGACCACCGATGACTACCACCGATCTGAACCACCGCCGCCATCGTCGATTTGAACCACCGCCGCCATCGTCGATTTGAACCACCGCCGCCACTGTCGATTTGAACCATCGCTGACCACCTCCATCTGAACTACCGTCGATTTAGTAACGTCGTTTGACTTATGGTTATATATGGGTGGTGTATTTTATATTGTTTTACATATTAAATAATTATTTTATTAAATTATTTTTAGTTTTTAAAAAATTAAAATTCTCAAAAAAAATGGCATTTTGGTCATTTACCAATATTTAATTCAAATTTCAAAGCTACATTTTGTGAACCAAACAAACAGATTTCATTCTAATGTCTGCCAACCAAACATGTAGTCAAAACCTGATAACATTTCATTCTAATTCCTTCAAAGTCAAATTTCTTTTACACATTTTATTTCATCCAAAAACATTATGCAAACCAAACATCATATCACCTTACATTTAGTAAGTGTTTACCCAATTAACATCATATACATGGTAATTTATTCTACGTAGACATAAAACAATGAATAATATTTTGTTATCTTCAAAAGAAAAAAAAATGAAAGACAAGACAATAATAATGAAAAGGAAAACATGAAAGTACAAGAAACAAAATGATTTTTTATCCATTAAGTTTTGAATCTATTAAATTGTCTCTAAGTATTAATTTGTCTGGATAAATTATTTTTTTAATTTTTATCTTGATTCTTGAATAAATAGTCTGAACAACAAAAATTACTATTTTAAACTTATTTTTACATAAATGTTAGATGAAAATAAATTGTTTGGTAAATATTTAAAATTAATATAAATTATTTGAAATGATATGAATGCTATGAATTCAACAAGTTAATATATTTAAAATGATAAAATAATATAAAAACTATGAGTTCAACAAGTTGATAAACCAATACTTAATACTTAAAAAATATTTAAAAAAATAATAAAATATTATTGTTTAATTACAATTTTTAATTTATTCATGTTGGTAAACTATTTTTTTTTTAATAAAACATGTGATTAAAAATCGTTGGACAAGAATAAAATGAGAAAATATAGCATACTGTAACACAAAAATGCATATAGAGAAAACCAAAAATCTATAATTTCTCATTAATCGTAATCTTTTTAAATATGGATGAATTTATATGAAAAAAAAAACGTTCATTATGGTAAACTCTAATACTTGAAAACTATTATTTCAAGTTTCAATCACTTACTTTTTGATGAAGGCAGGTAATGTAACGTCCCTAAAATAAGAATAAATTTAAACCAAAAGTTCGATACAGATTACCTATATAAATAAAAATCACCAAAGATGAGGAAATTGTAGAGCGTTTACAACCCAAAGGAGTAGAAGATAAATAACAACCTATTAGCTAATCTAAACTGTTATAAGTTCAGATTATGAATGAGTGTCACTATTATCGTTAAAAGAATCCTGTCAAAATATAACGTCAACCAACAAAAGCCATCAATCCAAAGAAGTTCCTCTACCGGCATTGAAAACACTTCGCTTAAGCCCTTCGGAGTCCCACCGCTAAGAGATCTTGATATACGTATCATTTAAGAAAAAGTATCAGGCTTGACACCTAGTGAGTCCAAACAGTTTATAAATAATGTAAATAACCAATACCATGGGCGGACCTAGTGTGTCGCCATGGATGACACGTGCCACCGTATTATTTCGTCTCCGAAGGGTAAAATTTTTAGGTTTGTTAACAGTGCTACCGTATCGTTTCGGAAGGTGCTACCGTATTTTTTTCCCAAATTCTAAGAGTGCAACTAAAGCCCAAATAAAACAGTGCTACCGTATCGTTTCGGAAGGTGCTACCGTATTTTTCCCCAAATTCTAAGAGT